TGTCTGGAAAGCACGTCTGGGGAAGGGGTGGTCGCCATTCCCGGTGCTGTGGGTCTGAGGCAGAAGTGGGAGGGGTCCCCAAAGATGCATTTCTGCAGCCCCCAAGGAGGAAACGGGGGTCCCAGGGAGTGCCATGAGCAAGAGCCGACCCTCCCCTGTGCACATCTCATGGAGGTCCTTACACCCCCTCCCTTTTGTGACGTTTCAGGTCCTGAGGGGCCAGGACCTTCCTTTTTCTGTAAAGATGAGATTCCACCAGAGGCAGACAGATGCTGCCTGCTGTCGGCCAATCAGGCTGCCCAGAACCCTGTGTTGACTGAGATCTGGAGAGTGAATCCAAACTCACAAGTGCTGCTGTCAGTGTGTGATGTCTGCTCTGTGGACAGGGCCGTCCCAGATGTCTGAATCAGCCTCTTTTATTATTTCCTTGTGTTGATCACCCCAAAAGTTATCAGAGTCCAACTTTATGTCCCATCTGAGGGCCCACTGTTCCCCTCCCATCATGAGTGGCCAGGTTAAGTTTTATCTAGTTGCTGGCTATCTTGAGTGGTCCCTCTAGAACTCATGTGGGAATTCCATAGCTATTAGGTGGGACCTCTACGAGGTGACTGGGTCTGCGGGGCTCTCCTCTCATGAGTGGATTACTGTGGTCACCACAGAGTGGCTCAGGGATTGTGGGAGTGGGCTCATAATAAAAGGGTGAGGTTTGGCCCCTTCCCTGTGTGCCTCATGCTCTCCTGTTCTTCTACCAGGGGCCGATGCAGGCAGGTGCCAGAGCCAAGTTCTTGGCCCTCCCAGCCTCCTGAGCTGTGAGAAGTAAATGTTCCCTTATCAATTACCCAGTCCCTGCTATTCTTTCAGAGCAGCAGAAAACAAGACTAAGATGTTCTTGCATTGGTTTATTTTGCCCTTTTCCTGCTTCTGAGGTCTCCAGAGTATGCTCCTTTCTGGGATGGGGTGGTAGGTACTGTCTGGAAGCCCCCAGGAGAGGTGCTGCAGGGCAGGAGGAGAACCAGTGGTCCAGTTGGGGTGACCAGCATCCCTCTGCTCTAGAAGGCAACTATGGATGCTCTTAGAGCCTGCAGCCCTTCACAACGTCAGCCCCAGGGCCTGGTGCTGTTTGAACCAACCCCTGCTTGTACTGTGTTTCCCCGAAAATAATACCTACCCCCAAAAATAAGCCCTAGCAGGATTTCTATGCATTTGTTAAATATAAGCCCTACTCTGATAATAAGACCTAGTGATGGGTGTGGCTATGCATCGTATCTGCATAGCCAGGCCCTGCATTTCAGTGTGGAGAGAAGACATCCCCTGAAAATAAGCCCTAATGTGTCTTTTTGAGAAAAAATAAATATAAGACAGTGTCTTATTTTGGGGGAAACATGGTACCTTTCTCCAGAGACCCTCAGAGTCTCTTCAGTAAAGATTGTGTTTCTTTACTGCCACTGTAGAGGAGAGGCACACAGGACCAAGCACAGGCAGTTTCCATGGTTAGACACATTGGAAGGGACACCTTGCCATGCAGAGGCTCTGATGTCCCCAGCCACCTTCTCCTTCCTCTTTCTCACGTGTCTGCCACAGTCCTGCCAGTTCAGAGGGGTTGTGACCCACCCCAGGGCACAGTCAGGGAGGGTGGTGCCAGCGTCAAGGCTGCAGACGTACTAGGCAGAACTCACTAGCCTTACACTTGTGCAGACCTCTCTTGGTTGTCAAGGCCGTGTTCAGAGTGACCACAGATGTCAGGAGGGCTCCTGTGAATTGTTAGCCCAGAAACCCATGTGGGGGACACGTGCCCTGCCTCATCTCTTGCTCCTGGTTTGCCGCTGTAGCGAGGTCCCCACAGAACTTCCATTTGCTCCTGTCTGTCTCCTTGTCCCGGTAGATTTTGGCAAGAGCCTTGTGGTAAATGTGTGCTCGCCGCTGCAGGCAGGTGTCTGCTTGTCTGATGTCTCCAACACACGTTCTTCGTGACATTTACCGCTTCTCACCTTAGGCTGTGGATGCTCACGATTCTGCCTGTCACACTTTGTCTCTCCCTCTATCCTCTCTTTAAAACCAATACAAACAGAAGTTAGGAGAACCCAAGTTCGACCTGACATATCCTTCCTGATAAACTTTCTGAGATGTGGCCTGTGTTCACGTGTCCCCTGTAGTTACAAGCCTGCTCCTCACCACAGAGGTAAGAAAACCACCCACCGCTTTGCCTGAAAGTGTTATATTTGTGTATTTTTTTGTTTTTTCAGCCCATAACATCATTGACAGCTGATGTTGAAATTGTGTAAGGTAAGTTG